CATGAAATATGGTGGTCATCGCCCTCATGTAAGTTGCTCCATCATTCGTCAAACCAAATGGCATTACCCGATAACAGTATGTTCCCCATGGCGTGATGAATGCTGTCTTTTCTGCATCTTCCTCATCCATCAAGATCTGGTGATATCCTGCATAACAGTCCACAAAAGACCCAATCTCATGCTTGGCACAATTATCGATCAGAATGTGAATGTTCGACAATGGAAAATCATCCTTTGGTCTTGCTTTGTTAAGATCACGGTAATCAACATAGAAACTGGTCTTACCATCCTTCTTTGGTACTGGCACAACATTGGCTAACCAAGTGGGATATCGAGTGACTCGAATGACCTTTGCAGTAAGCTGCTTTGTGATTTCTTCTTTGATCTTCACACTCATATCAGTCTTGAACTTTCGCAACTTTTTCTTGACAGGAGGGAATGCTGGATCAGTTGGCAATTTATGATTTACTAGATCAGTGGTCAGGCCCGGCATATCATCATATGACCATGCATAGACATCTTTGTGCTCAAACAATATTTTGATTATTTTCTCCTTAACTTGCGGTTCTAAATAAACACTTATCTTGGTTTCCCTAACATCATCCTAGTCCCCTAAATTGATTGCTTCGGTCTCACTCAAATTAGGCTTTGGTTTTTCTTCAAATTGTTTTAGCTCTTTACTGATTTCCTCAAATGCTGCTTTTTCATCATATTCTATTTCATCATCATATTCTACTTCTTGGATTGTTATTTCAGAATTAGATTGGCTTTTAAGACTCGGCTGAAATCTTCATGCATGTCATGTCACTGCAAACAGCATAAAAAGAACTGTACACAAGAAAAAAAACAAAACAAATCACTATTAAGAATAACGGAAAACGAAAAATTGCATTTCATTGAAAATAAAAGGATAGAAGGGTTTGAACATCAAAACAAGCAAAAACTAAAAATCTGGATTACAACCCTGGAATAACCCAGATAATAGAAAGGAAAACAAAGCAAACTACCAAAACTCCTTCCTGGTGGAGAGAGGAGTAGCTTTACAATTGCTAAGCTTCATGTTTGGGCCAACGAGCTGCACATCTACTTTACTAGAGCCTTCACCAACTTCTACCATATTGACCTCTTCGAACAAACTTTGGAACCTCTTGATCAGCTCTTCATCAATATCGACAACAGGTTTTGGGATTGAGGAGGTTGGAGGTTTTTCGGTCCCTGGCTTGACAAAACTTAGAGATGTGTGGGACCGGCTTGGAGAGCGACCATACCTTCTGTTTTAGATTTTTAACCCTTTTCACGTCCTTCTCTGTAGGCATGAATCCCAAATCAAATGTACCAGGATTCCCACTAGGGCGCACTGGATGCACAATACCCTACAGAAATGAGCCCAAACCCTTGCCCGACACAAAACCATTCTTCAACCTTTCATTCGCAACCATGACGGACGCGGAGGATAGCTTAGGACCTGGAATGCATTTTCCTTTAGGAATTTTCTCAATAGACACTATTTCGAAAGTCTGATAGACCCAAGGTCCCTTATCATCTTCAGCTTCGATAAACAGAACAATTATGTCATTACAAGCTGACAAGTCCTTATCATCGTTCACAACTATTTCATGCATGTCCCATTCGAACTTCACCATTTGGTGCAGAGAAGACGGAACTGCCTTAGCAACATGTATCCAGGGCCTGCCTAACAACAGATTGTATGAGGCAGCCATATCTAACACTTGGAATTCCATGGTAAACTCAACTGGCCCTATCGACAATTCGAGCATTATATCTCCAACAGAATCTTTACCTCCCCCATCAAAGCCTCGGACACACACACTGCTCAAGTGGATTCTTTTGGTGCCAATCTTCAGTTTTTGTAGGGTAGACAGGGGACAAATATTTGCACTAGAGCCATTATCAACCAAAACCCTTGAGACAACAAGATCTTCACACTTCACGGCGAGATAATGAGCTCGGCTGTGTTATGTACCCTCCACAGGAAGTTCATCGTCCGAGAAAGTGATCCTATTTGCTTCGAAGATCTTGCCAGCTATCTTTTCCAAGTGGTTCACTGTGATCTTATTAGGAACGTGTGCCTCATTCAAAATCTTCATCAATACCTTGCGATGTTCATCTGAATGTATCAACAAAGACAAAAGAGAAATCTGAGCTGGTGTTTGCCTTAACTGCTCCACAATGGAATAATCCTGCACTTTCATCTTTTTTAGGAACTCCTCAGCCTCTTCGTCGGTGACCAATTTCTTTACCGGTATTGGGCTATCCTTGAATGGCTTGGCTTTCCTTAATTCTTCTGGGGTGAAACATCTCCCAGAACGAGTCAATCCTTCAGTTTCATTAATTTCTTCCTCTATTTTTTTTCCTTTTTATGTCACTATCACTTGTTTATAATTCCACGGAACAACCTTGGCATCCACCACTGGAAGCTGGGTTACTGATTTAATGATGATAGGGGTAGCAGGAGCCCCCTTCACAACTATGACAGGCTTACTTGGAATCTCTGGTACTTCCACTTTTGAACTTTCTAGACTTGCCCTAACATCTTTTGACATCTCTTTCACGACCAACACTGGTGGTTTCAAATTGAGTGAGCTCGGATTTTCTGTCACCCCTTCAACTATCAAGGGCTTCGCTTTGGTAGAGTTAGGAGCTTTAACCAAATTACTTTCACTAGCCCGAATCATCATGAAGGACTTAGAAGACTTCCTGGGCTCCCCGTCCTTGTGAACTATTTCAATCATATGCGTCTCTGCATGGGCTGGAAAAGGGTTTTGGTTGATGTTCGGCGCGTCTGGGCTTTGGACTACAATTTGGTTGGTATCAATAAGCTCCTGGATTGCCATTTTCAAATGCCAGCACTTCTCTATGCCATGCCCTAGAGCATCAGAACAATAGGCACATCTTAGGGAATAGTTGAGGTTCTTTGGATGGGGATTTGGTATCTTTGACTCAATCGGCCTCCAGACGTCCAATTGCTTTAACCTTTGAAATAAACCAGCATAAGACTCTCCAAACGGGGTAAAAATTTGCTTTCGCTGCTGCCTCTCCCTTCTATACTCTGGCCTCAGTCGAAAGTTTGAAACAATAGGGTTTTGGTAGGGTTGTGGAGGTGGATAGGTATTTTGTGGAGCTGGATAGGTATTCTGCGGAGCTGGAGCACACCATTACGGGTAAGGAGGGGGTTGAGCATATGACTGTGCATGGTGAACATGGAATTGGGATGGCCTGGCTGAGTATTGGGGATTTTGCGGGGAAAAGTAATATTGAGGTGGATTATATGGAGCTTGGGCGTAGGTTTGAGGTCGGGGTCGAGAATGGGTGTATTGATGAGGTGAACTCCTTTGGCCATGCCATGATCCGGAGATAACCATATCGACATCTTCCTTCTTCTTCTTTCCTAGCAAACTTCCGGTACCACTCTGGATTGCCTAGGTGGTTGCTTTTATAGCAGAATAGCTCATGATCTTACTCAACTTGAGCCCCTCTTCCACCATTTCTCCCCTCTTCACCACATCATTGAAAGACTTACCAATGGCTGAGATCAAGTGGCCATAGTAAGTGGCTCCAAGGCTTTAAGAAAGTATTTAACCATCTCGTCCTCTTCCGTCGGAGGATTGACTCGTCCAGCTTGCTCCCTCCATCGGAACTCATATTCTCTAAAGCTTTCACTGGTTTTCTTTTCCACCTTGGTCAAAGATAGACGGTCTGGAACAATGTCTATATTGTACTGAAAATGCCGGGCAAAGGCCTGAGCCATATCGTCCCAGGTGTACCACCTGCTGGCGTCCTAGCGGGTGTACCATTCTAAAGCTGCCCCACTCAGACTTTGGCTGAAGTATGCCAACAATAATTCGTCTTTTCCCCCGGCGCCTCTCATTTTACTACAATAACCTCTCAGATGAGCTATAGGATCCCCATGTCCGTCATACAAGTCAAACTTGGGCATTTTGAACCCGACAGGCAATTGGATATCGGAGAACAAACACAAATCCTTATAGGCCACACTCACTTGGTTTCCCAACCCTTGCATATTTCCCAATGATTGCTCCAGACTCTGTACCTTCCTAAACATCTCTTCTTGCTCTGCGCTCTTGGGTGGTTTGTCAGTTTCAACATGAGGCTCAAATTGGGGAGTGTAAGAGTAAGGATCTGGGACTTTGAATGTGGGCTCCGGTGCATAGTAGTGGGCATCTATAGCAGGGAATGTAGGCTTACTAGAGGATCGGTGGAGGGTAGCTTGTGGAGGGGGTACAAAAATAGGAGCAGACCTCGGAGTAGGGTACGTGGTTGTTTTGGCTAGCAGAGCATGAACAGTTTGGGCTGAAGTGCCGGGGTAGTTGTGGTAAGGGGTAAAGCCAGGTACGTGTTATGGGGAAAGATCAATGGTATTGGGCATCTGGGATTGAGAGAGTGGTGGAATGGAAGCAGGGTTTTCTGTGTAGTTGGTAGAGAACGAGGGTGGAGGGTGTCCTTTAATCCAGGCTTGATACATTTCTACCATCTGATGCTTCAACCTTTGGACCTCCTCTTGCAGTTCCGATTCCGACTCAACAATCTCCCTTGGTGGGTCTACAACTCCAGTGTCTGTTTCCTTACTAGCCATGATTGTTTGACGCTTTGATCGGGTGTTGTATGGATGACTTTCCAGGATGCCAACAAACTAACCACCTTCTTGAAACTTAATAGAGATAACAGAGGACAACAACATAAAACCACCATGTTAGCGTTAGGGCATTTATCAAATAATAATATCACATTATGTGCAATGTACCTAGCAATGATTAACGGTTCTAAAATGGCTTTGAGGGTCGCATGGTCAAATGACATCATTCCAATTTGCTCATTTCAATCCTTTCTTCTCTTTCTTTTCCAACACCTCTTATCACTCTTTTCTTTTCCTTTCTCTTTTTATTTTGAACCAAAAATGATTTGATCGAACCCGATGTAGGTTGCCTACGTATCATGTTCCTCATGAATCAGACCAAGCGTAGTTCTGGAGAAGTGGTGGAAAATAAACTGAAACAAAATCTTTTTGGGATTTTTCATTTAAAACTTTTCGATATTAAAATACAAAGGGAAATACGATAATGAAAGACATGACAGACTCAACTACACTACGACAGACTCTGACACTACCTAAAGGACTCGGTACTTCTAGACAAGGCACGAAAGTCAAAGACAACATAAGACAATCTCAAAACACCTAAATAGGATGACTCCTCAAGCTGCTCCTGAATGCGACTGTCCTGACCGGGATGGTCCTGGGCTATCCGTCATGCTCAAACTCTGTAACATGCCTCGTAAAGAAACACCGATGCTGGGAATAAAAGCTATGTCACGTGCCCCCGCATCCTGAAGGCCGACCCTAAACAAATACTGGCCATGCTGCTCCACGTTTGCTTCCAATCCCGCTAACTGAGACTTTATCAACTCAAGCTTATCCCAGGGATCTTGGTCCGATGCCTCCTCAAAATCATCTGTCTGAACTACCCGACCCCTAAGTTGTGCTAGCAATAGAGTGCTGACTCCTGGAGGGACGGACTGTAACCAAATCAAGTACTCTTGAGTACACTCGGGCCTGCCAATGTCCTCTACTAATGTATTTTTCTTCATCCTCTTTGCATTGTTCCAGTATTGCACATACCTGATTTCATCAGTCGCCTTTTTGCTAAAATTTATGATGTGCCTCCGAAGATTCAAAGTTGGAGGCTCCTCTTGTCTTCTGCCCAATTGTCACATTACCCTAACGGGAGTGTATGATCTGACACACTTGAGTCCTATCAACATTAGGAAAGGCTGCATAAGGCACCCTACCAGGATATCATCCAAAGGTTGCCAAAGGTAAGCCCACAAAACATTCTTATTTGTCCTCAAACCAAGGGACTCAATCCAAGCCGTGACGCCTACTGGGTACGTAAACTTAGGAGATTTCATCCTACATTCGATGCATACCACACGATCCCTCAAGGCACGGTCGATGGGACAAAGTAAGGAAGCGATGTGAAAATGCTCCATCATCCACAATTGTAGCAAAAGGTTACTTCCATCAAAATATCTGACACCTCCCCTAACCTCACTCATGGCTCGGTACAACTCTGCTAAGATCATCGGCACAACGGTAACGGGTTTGTGTTGCTTCTCATGAAATAGTGCCATTACCACTAACTGCAGACGGGTGCTAATGTGCCTCTCATATAATGGAAAAACCAATAATCCCAACAAAGCAAGGCTGAAAGCTTCGAGGAGACGTCTTTGCCACTTTGCCTTGGTTGTGCATAACTCATCCCAAAAGACGTCAAAACTATCTTGTGGTCCAATGCTAGCAAACAAATAATCCAAGGATATCCAGGACTGCTCGAGACATTTTAAATGCTTATTATCTTTCAGGCCCAGGTCGCTGAGGAATCTTGTCCTAGAGTGGTCTCGGGGAAGTATCATGTCCTTGCCTATATAGCTTAAATGAGTGAGACCAGATATTTCCGCCAAGGTAGGAGTCATCTCACACTCTCCAAATTTGAAAATCAAATTTTGCGTTTCCCAATAAGTCAGCATCGCCTCCACTAAGTCTGGACGAGGTGTGATATCATGAAGGGAAGTTAGGGTGCCCAATTTCTGCATTAATTCATGCTACTTTAACGATGAAAACATTTTCCACCACTTGATCAACTTCCTAAGAATCTTTACTACCATCAGCACTTTGGATCGAATCAACGGGTCCATACCTGAATGAAGCAAACATGGTTAGCGACTCGGGACACTACGTGACCCCACCACATTTCCTAGCAAACAAATGCAGAACACAACTTAGCTATATTTGCAAAATGGCCTAAGTGGCTATTAGCGCAAACTTGACAAAGTTGACTCCTAATGCATGAGAAATCTTTTTTGGATTTTTCATTTTCATTTTTTGTTTTTTGGAAAACTATGAAAGAAATATGTGAGTGAACCCTACTTGCTTCATTTTTACCCTTCTTTCCAAAGCATCAGCCCACCAAATGACCTTCCTACCCTCACAGATGCAACATTTAGCACATAGGATGATTAAATGTCATTTTGGGCCACATGCCCATTTTGACCAAATTTGGACAGGCTTCCTACAAAGGAACACGGTACCTAGGACCTAGCCCTACTAGGTTTAAATGACATGATGCAAATAAAAATGACCTAAAGGCTGACCTAAGTTTGGGGTTCACTAACAAGGCAATTCAGGGGAGCGTATGGTTGATGGTGGCTGCTCAAGCTTTCCACCCACTCCATACGTCCGACAGCCCCCCTCCTAAATTAAGGGTGACTCAACAAAGAGTTCGTGTACGCGACACGTGCTCCGAGACTTGTTGCAGAAAGAAGACCCATGGTTATGCAAATGATGACAATCTATAAAGCAGTAACACATAAAGGAAAAACTGTAAACAAATAAGCAACTAGCAAATAAAAATGACATAAACAAAATAAAAAGCAAACAAAACACATAAAAACCTCAACTGAATATCCTAAAAACCAACACGATCAAGTACTAGCTTGAACCTAAAATTCCCTAGCAGAGTCGCCAGAGATGTCGCACCCCTTTTTTAAAAAACCTCACTTAACCCTCTTAAAATAATAAAAGGATTTTGTAAAGCTCAAAAAGGGTTTTCTAATTAGAATGTGACAAAATTGTATTCAAAAGGAAATAACTCAGAGTCGCCACCTGACATTTGATTTCAGTGTGTCAGGTCACCGTTTTAAAAAAATGATTTTTCCTTTTAAAACATTTCAGACTCTAAAACCAAGTCCACAACAGAGATTTGGGTAAGGGGGTTCATTTGACTCGGGGAGAAGATGTTAGGCACTCCCCAAGTCCCGTGAAAGCCACGGTTGCGTACATGATCAAGCTGGCCTTTAAGATATTCGAATTGAGGTGATAACACGCAAAAAAAATAAACAATCAAAAGAGGCTAGAGGTCGTCCCCACCTAAATGAAAGAAAATTAAAAAAAGAAAAATTAAAGTTCTGGATTATCCTACACTACTTCTTTTATGATGTTCGCCATGGCCTCCAATTACATTCACTTCGGGACATACCCCTGAAATAAAATATCTACAAACCCCTCGGGGCATTCCCCAGATAAATTTAACTAAGGGAACAACCTCTCGCCTCGAAACTAACAAAATCCTAAGGCTTGCCTACCCAAGTGTGGTCGGCCTAAAACATGCTCCTAACTATCGAAGCCATAAGACAACATAAGAATAAGAGTGACAAAATAATTAAAGTCCAATTTATTTACCTGTTTAATGTCACCTTCCCTTGCGAACCCTTCAAACAACTGACTTCCGTTCTTATAACATATTAAACCATAGGACTTGCTAGATCAAACGACACCACAAACATATATTAAGCAATGAACCATAAAGAAATAACAGTGATTTTTCTCGAAAGGAAATCCACGAACTCGGAGTAAAACACCACGATCCATGAATTTATTATTTTCATGGCTTAATTAAAAGCATAACCCATCCAGAGCATATTTAAGCAGATATTACCAAACATTCAAAAAAACAGAACAAGGATATAGTAACTCACACAATCAACAATCAATGCAATTGATAGANGATATAGTAACTCACACAATCAACAATCAATGCAATCGATAGACTTACGTAATAACAAGGGATTGTGATATTAAGCAAAACAGAGTATAGGAAAATGAGAAACAAACCTCAAATGAATCAGAAAATTATTTATAAGGCAGCTTTGCATTCGAAAATACGACGGACCATGGACGGAATCTCACTGGCGACCGATCTCGAACAAGAACAGGGAATTCGGACCACCAAAATTCAAACAAGTTCCATAACGAGATGGAGATGGAAATCAAAAGAAGACTATTGAAACCTATTTTATCTTTTCGATTTTCTGGTATAAAAAAACGAATTAGTGATCAAAGAACACCATTTCTTTTCTATCCGAAATCTGTCCGAAATTCATCTTCACCCTCTGTTTTTGTTATTTTTTTGTGTTCTTGTATGAGTGTGTGTGTTAATGGGAGGTGAGGGAGCTAGAAGGTCGCTGGTCCGTTGGATTTGCTGCTGGCGGTGATGGGGGTTGTTCTCTTAGGTCTCGTCTAGTTGAAGAAGAAGAAGCAAGCAGCCATGGATGTCCTCCAAGTTCTGCCGCTGCTGCTGGTTGCTCAAAATAAAAGGGGTCATTTTTTTTGCTGGAAAAAAAAAGAACGATCGGGTCCAAGATCAAGGCTAGGGTTTCTATAATTGGGTATTTTTATATGAAGGTGGGAAGGGATGATGACCATTGGATTAGAAAGAAATAAATTACTAGGATTAAATCTTGCACATAAATGGGCTAATGGGTTGGGAAGAATGGGCTAAGAATAATTGGGTTTAAGTTAAAAAAAATGGACTCACACCTTTAGGCCTACAAATTTTCTTGTTGGACAAAGACAAACTCAAAAATTCTACAAAAATATTAATTAAACTTAGTTAAGTAAATAAACAAAATTTTAAAATGAAACTGCTTTTTTTTTTATTTTTAAATGTTATAACAATAAAGTAAAAAGTAAAGAAAATAGGCTAAAGTCATGATAAAATTAAGATTCCATGAATAAAAATATACTAATTGATCTTAAACTAAAGATAAAAATATAGAAAAGCGACAAACACGATAAATAAAACTATTTTATGTTTTTTATGCCTTAGGACTAAAAGTAAAAAGATTAAAATTATATTAAAATAAAGTCAAGTAAATATTTTAAAAATATTAAAATACTAAAATTAACTTTAAAATTTGCGTGGGTCAAAAATTACTTACAATTTACCCCTAATATTTATACCAAATCAATAAATATATAATACATTTATATATCTACACATATAATTATTGCTAAATTATACTTAATTAATATATATTCTCTCATTAGTTTATAGTTTTACTATGTTAAATTAGTATAGTTTGATGTAAACATATGATACAAGCAGGGGTAAAGCTAGAAGCCCGAGTACTAGTTCAGCCGCACCCCATAACTTTTTTTTTAAACAGTGTACTCTTGTTAAAACATTCATTAAATATATACAAATATTAGATTTAGAATCCAATTATTAGCACTTGAAATCTTCACTCTAAAATTTAAAACCCATAAAATTAAAATTTTAACTCCGCCTCTGGATACGAGTAAGTTTCTTACTCAAGAATGCAAAAAAGATTTTCACCTTTGAGTTCGAATTACCACTTGTAATAAGAGGGATCTTACTATTATATGTATTGCGATGAAAGTGCAACTAAGCTTAATAAAATATGTATTTCCTAAGTGAGAGAGAAGATAAACACATTGACATTGGTTTTACACCAAATCTAAGAAAGGAATATATAGGAATAGGAAAATAATATTATCAAATGGTGAATCATAAGATGGGGATTTTTTCTTGCTATTAATTATTCATTTTAGAAAGTATTATTAATTTTTATTCCTACAATAAACGCCTAGTAAAGTGACTGAAACTTGCCATATTTTTCAATTGCAACACCTAAGTAGGCGTTTGGACATAAGTATAATTTTTTTAGAGTTAAATTGAAAAATAATATTTGAAATTTGAAATAATGTTTGGACATGCATTTGAAAAAATATTGCAGTTTTGTAAGTGGAGAAAAAAAAAATTATGTAAACTCTTTTTCAAATTTTATTCAAAAACTTGTAAATTTCATGGACAAACACATTTTTTTAAAAAAAATAATAAAATAAAATTCTTTTATGGGCAAACGGGGCCTAACTCCCATCATGATAATTGTATAATTAGTTCAGTATTCTATCCCCAGTCTTTTTCTTTCTTGGAATCGTAAGATGAAGATAATATAATATACTTTAAGTGAGGAAAAACGAGGAATTCATTAATATAGGAGAAGAATAATAGTAGTCTTTAAGATTATAATATCATGCCCCATTATTATAGATCATTTGATTAAGAGGAAATGGTCTCCTATGACCAGTTGCAATTTATATAGAAAAATGACTATACAAATTGAAAATCTCCTATTTTATTTACCAATCTCCTCTGAAAAATGTTATATAACTGAAAATAACATTTTTAATGGGTTCGATTTGGACCTATCTAAAACTTTTGGGTGTTGAGTGTTATGATAAAAGCTGATGAGGGGACACCGTATTGAGATATAGTTGAAGAGGCTATTTGATTTTATCTTTTAAGAAACATGATATCAGTTCCATTCACTTTCATTAATCTAAACTTTTTGCCTCCCATACACATGCACATAAAACCTATACTCCCTCTGTTACCGTTTGTTTGAATCTTTTATGAAATATGAGAGTTAATTTTCAGTGTGAATTCAGACATAAATTCTATAAAAGATTTTGAAATAAAATATATTTATTTAGAAACTATATAAAATGTACTATAAGTTATAACAGATAACAATTCAAATATTTAAGAACTATCTACAGAACACATAGTCAAAAAAAAATTATCAGACTCTCATAATAGTAATGAATTCACACAAATCATTTTCAACAACTATTATTTCACGTGGGACCATGTATGCCCAAGTGCTCTTTGACATAAGACTAATAAAAAGTGATGGGTAAAAAGAAAAAGGAAAAGTATTCCCTATTCTATTTTTAATAACACCTCCAAAGCAAACAATTAAAAAGCATTTCCTGTCATCACTTTGTGGTACCCATCAATACCCAACAAACACCTTATTCACGTTTCTTTGAAGGAAAAGGCCAAATACCATTATACTATCATAAAAGTTTAAATATATCTTTCGTTATATATTGCGTCTTAATATTCCCTTGTCGTTATAATATTGGTTTAAATATATTTTTTTTCGTTAAGTTTGTCCAAGATGGACATCCAATCCTATGTGACACTAACATTTGATAAGGTGAATGCCACATGGCTTGCCACCTCAGCGCCCCTAACCTATTTTACCCATTCCTTCAAATTTTTTATCCACCGCTATTGCCACTATTACCGCTACCATAAAAAATATGGTATCTAAAATTTTAGTCTTTTATATATGGATTAGGAGCGCTGAGGTGGCATGCCATGTAGCATCCACCTTATCAAATACCAATGTTATGTAGGATTGGATGTTCACTTTGGACAAATTTAACAGAGAGGGATATATTTAAACCAATAATATTATGGCAATGGTATATTTGGACCCAAAATATAACGTAGAGTATATTTAAATTTTTTCTCATACTACATGCATATATTTGGTCCTTTGCCGTTTCTTTTATTTCTCAGTCAGTATTTTGGTATTCATTTTGGGTTCTTGGTTAATATGAATTCACATTGTATAGTGTGTAAGGTCCGTCAAAGGAAAAACGCTTAACAAAATTCATTTACAAAACTCAAAATCATTGGCTATAATCAATGGCGGATCTACGCTTAGAGGTATGGGAGCTTCCGCACCCGTTGGCTTTGGCCAAACTATTTTATCTATGAATATATAATACTTAAAAAAGTCTATAAGTGGCCATGAGCACCCACTATAACAAAGTTTCAAGGGGTGAAATTTATACTAAAATTAATTAAGCCCCAATAACCTATAAATTCTGGATACACAACTAACTATAGTTACCTTTATGATGCCAAACAAGTAAATATGAGGAAAAAGATATATTTGTTATGAATAGTTTGTACATTAGATACTACTTTGAATACTACATTGGATACTACATTGGATGCTACATTGGATGCCCATGCTGTGAATAACTTAAAGATTAAATTTTCTATTTTATGTCCATCATCTTTACTTTTTATGTCTATAAAAGGCCATGTAATTGCAATGAAAAATTACACCAAAGTGAAAGAAGAAAATACTTCTCCATTCTCTCTATCTCTTCTTGTTTACATTTTACTGCATTGCTTTTATTTTATAACACGTTATCAGCACGAAGCTCTAATTTTATTCTTAACTCCCGCTAAGTTGAGCCATATTTTATTAAGGTATGTATCATTATAATCATTTTATTTATGGCAGTACATATCATATGCTCATTGTTTGCAGATTACTTGTGCGCTTGAGTATCTTAAATAGTTTAAGTACATTACAGTGATAAAATAACTATTTCCTTTCGTGCTCAACTCTTAGAGGACCTCAAAGTCATCAAACTAGCTATGCACTAATGTCATACTTATAATATTCATGGACTCCCTGGATCAAAACATATCTTTAAGGCATTTTGAAGAACTGTGAGAAATAAATTGACAAGCAATAATTTTATAGTTTAATTACTTTATATTTATTGGAACATATAAATAATGTTAGTCACGTTCAGTTCTATTAACACATATATATCAATAATATCAAGTGAAATAAAACAAGTATGTAATTTCTACTTTATGGCAAGAATAAAACGAAATAGTAGATTGTTAACATGATATAGCTCTATTTTCATTTCTTTTACCTTAATCGTTTTGTTTTCATTAATTGTTTATTATTATAATTATTTCTCTAACTTATTCATCTTTTATGATAGTTTTCACTATGTCAAATTTATCAAAACTTGAATTTGTGGCACTTGACATCACCGGGAGGAACTATTTATCATGGGTTCTTGATGCTGAAATTCACCTTGACGCTAAAGGTCTTGGAAATACTATTATACAAGGAAATGAAGCATCAAATCAGGATAAAGCGAAGGCCATGATTTTCCTTCGTCATCATCTACATGAAGGGTTAAAAATTGAATATTTAACCGTAAAAGATCCACTTGAATTATGGATTAATTTGAAGGATCGATATGACCACCTAAAACTTACGGTATTACCGAAAGCTCAGTATAAGTGGATACATTTAAGGTTGCAAGACTTTAAAATCGTAAGTGAGTATAATTCTGCTATCTTTAAAGTAAGTTCTCTATTAAAATTATGTGGAGACACTATCACAGATGAGGACTTATTGGAAAAAATATTTTCTACTTTTCACGCTTCAAATGTGGTGCTACAACAACAATACCGTGAAAAAGGTTTTAAGAAATATTCTGAGTTAATCACATGCCTACTTGTGGCTGAGCAGAATAATACTCTATTAATGAAAAATCATGAAGCCCGTCCCACTGGGTCAGCTCCATTTCCGGAAGTGAATGTTGTAGCAACATATGATAAGTTTGAAAGAAAACAAAATAATTACCGTGGTCGTGGACATGGTCGTAAACGTGGACGTGGCAGGGGGCGAAACAATTATCGTCATT